GCTCGATCTAAAATTCGAATTCTGGGTTGTGCATTGCTATGCCAAATCTTAGAAAAATCATAACTTCCTCATACGAAGTCAGATTTGGGCGTTCTTTTTATGCACGCTCTCGGTTTAACGTGTACCACGACTTTTGTTTAGATTGCTAAGGCTAAAAAGTCCTCTATTGTAAGTTCACTATTTACGTCACGCAGTGTCGTGCCGGTTTTGTCGCGAAACTTCGACATGCCATAACTTCTTCGTTATAACTCGGATTTCGATGTTCTTTATATCTCCGGAATCCTTGTTACGACCACTACAACTTTATTTATCGATATCGGGCTTATCTAACATTTTATATTCGACGCTTATTTTTATCCTTTATTTATTATATTATTATAAACAAGTAATAAGCACACAAAAGCACATAATTCACATAATATTCAAGTAATTCATGTTTATTACTTCGAAACGAGTTACAATGGTTGACCTAGACTATTACATTATCATTAGTGTTTAGCCCGGAAACTCGGGCGTTACAAATAGTCCCCGTAGCCGGTTCAGATAAAACGGATGGTAGGTCGGGCACCCCAGAATTGCCTGGTAGGGTAGGTCAAACACCCCATAATGGCTTGACATGGGTAGGTCAGGCAGCCCAGAATTTCCTGGCAGTATGTTTGTTATATGGTATGATGTATAATGGGGGAACTCATTAAGCTTTGTGCTTACAGTTTACAGTTTTTTTCAAGTCCTTCTTCTTCGAAGGGAAAGGAGCCGGCTTGGTAGCAGCGCATCACACCATTATTTTCCGCACCATGATGTTCTTGAGATTGTACTCTGACATTATTATTCCATGACATGTTTTATGACATTTGGCTTATGGGTTTGTTGGTTTGATATATGATATTGATGACGTTTTCAGTAAACTGTTTTATAAACTACTTAATTAAAAACAGAATTTTTTGGTCATGATTTTTTGAGATGTTAAACGATAAATCTTTTAAATTTATAGTTGTAAAATAAAAGAAACGAACAAATATTATGTGACCGCCATAAAGAATGACATTCATTAATAAGGTATAAAAAAGAGTGAATTACACGAATGGTCCCTATGGTTTAGGGTAATTTAAACGTTTGGTCCTTAACTTATTTTTTTAACTCGGAAGGTCCTTACTGTTTGTTTTGTTACACGATAGATCCCTATCTTACCTAAAAAGACTATTTTGCCCTTGATTTTTTAATTTATTTAAATAAACACACCCCCAACCCCACCCCATCACCTTACCTTACCTATCCCACCATTTTTTCCTATTTAAATAATAGTTTTTTAGGTAAGACAAGACCAAGCGCGTAAAAAAACAAACAGTAAGGACCAAACACGTAACAAAAACAAATAGTAGAGACCTTCCGAGTTAAAAAATAAGTTAGAGACCAAACACGTAAATTACCCCAAACCATGGGGACAATTCATGTAGTTTACTCTATATATATATATATAT